TTCCAAAAATACAAAAATGAGCTGGGTGTTGTGGTGCATGCCTGTGGTGTCAACTACTCAGGAGGCTGAGGTGGGAGGATTGCTTGGGCCCAGGAGGTTGGGGCTGTGGTGAGCCAGTGACCATGCCAGTACACTCCAGCCTAGATGACAGAACAACCCTATCTCAAACAAAGAAATACATAAATGAAAGAAAGTTGGTGTTCCTACCACAGGTGTGTCCAGTGAGGAGAGGGAGCGTGATGTGCAGACGAGAGGGGATAATGCTGGACCTTCAGAAGGTGAGGGAGAAAGGAGTCCAGATGAAGGAGTTGATCTCTGATAGCAGCAGAGATAACAGCATATCCTTACAGTTGCAGGTGGTTTTGTAGATCTAAGAGGATCAGAAAGTTTGCTGGCTCTAGTTTTATAGATTATCAGGAAGATTATCAGAAAAACATCTCTTGACACAGTGGGCTCTCTAATGTTCTGGCACTTGAATAAAAGCTATCCTAAAATATTACAAATTCCAGAATTTACCTTCACAGGCACCTTTTCTTTAACTAGAAGGCTTTCGTTTTTGGATATGGAATCTTGCACTCAGGCTAGACTGCAGTGGCACCATCTAGGCTAACTGCAACCTCTGCCTCCTGAGTTCATGTGATTCTCCTGCCTCAGCCTCCTGAGTAGCTGGGATTACAGGAGTGTGCTACCACGCCCAGCTAATTTTTGTATTTTTAGTGGAGACGGGGTTTCACTGTATTGGCCAGGCCGGTTTCGAACTCCTGAACTCAGGTGATCCACCCACTGAGGCATACCTTTTATTTCAGTCTCATGTTTCAGTTTGTACTATGGTCTCCTTCTTTATTTGTTACCAGTTAAAAAAACATTTCTTTTTTCTTTCTTTCTTTCTTTCTTTTCTTTTTTTGCTGGTTTCCAGGTAATTCTAACAACTAACTAGGGTCCTGATGCTTGGTAGTTCCCAAGGGAGGCAGACAGAGTATTATGCACAGTCCAGAGGAGCTAATGTAATGCTTAAGTGGAAGAAACTGAACCAAACAATAAAAATATGGGCTACATATTACAGACAACTGTGAGACCTTTTTGTTTATGATATTATGGGAAAGATTCTCCTAAGGAAAGTGGTGGAAACTCCATCACTTAGACAAGTTAGAACACAACTGTAAAGGTACTAAAAATTGTATTAGAGAGATTCGTTCTGTAAAAGACCCTGGGGGCTGAGCGTGGTGGCTCATGCCTGTAGTACTAACACTTTGGGAGGCTGAAGCAGAAGGATCACTTGAACCCAGAATTTTGAGACCAGCCTGGGCAACATAGTGAGAGACCCCATCTCTACAAAAATTAACAAATTAGCCTGGTGTGGTGGCATGTGCCTATGATCCCAGCTACTTGGGAGGCTGAGGTGAGAGAACTGCTTGAGCCCAGAGGTAAGCCATGTTTGCACCACTGCACTCAAGCTGGGCAACAGAGCAAGACCCTGTCTCAAAACAAACAAACACACACCCTGAGAGGTACATTATATGGCTAGAGACTTCATTTCTAATTTTTCTATTATTTTTGTTTTTTTGAGATGGAGTCTTGCTCTATTGTCCAGGCTGGGTGCAGTGGTACAATCTCAGCTCACTGCAACCTCTGCCTCCCAGGTTCTAGTGATTCTCCTGCCTCAGCCTCCCTAGTAGCTGGGACTACAGGCATGAGCCGCCACACCCAGCTCATTTTTTTTTTTTTTTATGAGACAGAGTTTCACTCTTGTCACCCAGGCTGGAGTGCAGTGGTGTGACCTCAGCTCACTGCAACCTCCACTTCCTGGTTTCAAGTGATTTTCCTGCCTCAGCCTCCCCAGTAGCTGGGATTACAGGCGCCCACCACCATGCCCAGCTAATTTTTGTATTTTTAGTAGAGACAGGGTTTTACCATTTGGCCAGGCTGGTCTCGAACTCTTGGCCAGGTGCTGTGGCTCACATCTGTAATCCTAGCACTTTGGGAGGCCGAGGTGGGTGGATCACCAGCGGTCAGGAGTTCAAGACCAGCCTGACCAACATGGTGAAACCCCATCTTAAAAAAAAAAAAAAAAAAGACTGTCTCAAAAAAAAAAAAAAAGAAAAAGATGGGCATGGTGGATCACGCCTGTAATCCCAGCACTTTGGGAAGCCGTGGCGGGTAGATCACAAGGTCAAGAGATGGTTTACCTGGCCAACGTGGTAAAACCTGTCTCTACTAAAAAATATAAAAATTAGCTTGGCATGGTGGTACACGCCTGTAGTCCCAGCTACTTGGGAGGCTGAAACAGGAGAATCGCTTTAACCTTTGAGGCGGAGGTTGCAATGAGCCAGGATCATGCTACCGCACTCCAGTGTGGAGACAGAGCCAGGATCTGTCTCAAAAAAAAAGAAAGAAAAGAAAAAAGAAAAACAGAGAATAGGAATAGGTATTTGCCCAAGGAAGATAAGCCCAAGCAGATGTTCAACATCATCAGCTCCTAGGAACATGAAAAACCAAACCAAACCATATCTTTCACACCTACTAGCATGGCTACAGTAAAAAAGACAGACAATAACAATTATTGGTACAGACGTGGAGAAGTTAGAACCCTCAGACATTGCTGGTGGCAGTGCAGCTGCTTTGGAAAACAATTTGGCAGTTTCTCAAAAAGTCAAACATGTAACCTAGCAATTTCCCTCCTAGGTATATGCCTAAAAGGAATAAAAATAACACGTCGAAACAAAAACGTGTACATGAATGTTTATAGCAGCATTACTCAAAATTGTCAAAAGGTGGAAACAACCCAAATGTCACTATGAATTGATAAACAAAATGTGCCACAGCAATCCAGCGCAACGTTTGGCATTAAAGAAATGAAGTACAGATATATGCCACAATATGGATGAACCTTGAACACATATGCTAAGTGAAGGAAGCCAGACCCCAAAGACCACATGGTGTATTGTGCCATTGATTCGAAACGTCCAGAATAGGCAACTTCACTGAGACAGGTCCTTATCCTGCGGGAGTATGGGGAGTGACTGTTAATGACTCTGAGGGTTTCTTCTTGGGATGATGAAAACGTACTGAAATTGTACAGTGAGGATGACTGAACTGTGAATGTAATCAAACCATTGTACACCTTAATTGGCTGAATTGTATGGTATGTAAATTAAATTGCAATAATGAGGTTAAAAAAAAGAAGTAAACTTTTAACATCAGTGTCACCAGGGGTTCAGCTCTGGCTTATACAGAATTCCATTCCTGGAGAGCAGATAATATGCACAGGCAGCAGTGGTTTATTTTTACTCACAAATTCCTTACATATCTGATAGGTTCCTATTTTAAGCATGTAGCAAAGACATTGTAACTCTTAATTCTGGAATGCAGTCTTTATGGTGTAGTGAGCCATCCAATCCACTTGTAGTCCTCGCCCGTGGCAAAATCTGGAATTTCATGGTACTGTTATTTTGACCGCTCAACTTAGATTTATATTTTATTTCATTTTTATTTTTTGTATTTTTAGTAGAAATGGAGTTTTGCTATGTTGGCCAACCTGGTCTTGAACTCCTGACCTCAGGTGATCCACCCGCCCCAGCTTCCCAAAGTGCTGCGATGACAGGCGTGAGCCACAGCACCAGGCCATTTTTTTTTTTTTTTTTTTTAAAGAGGGGTTTCACCATGTTGGTCAGGCTGGTCTTGAACTCCCGACCTCAGGTGATCCAGCCGCCTTGGCCTCCAAAGTGCTTGGATTACTGGCGTGAGCCACCACGCCCGGCCTCAGGCCATTTTAATTAATTAATTAATTAATTAATTGTTTTGAGGCTGAGGCAGGAGAATCGCTTGAACCCAGGAGGCAGAGGTTGCAGTGTGACAAGATTGTGCCACTCAGCTCCAGCCTGGGTGACAGAACAAGACTCTGTCTCAAAAACAAAACAAAACAAAACAAAACAAAAAGCCAGGCATGGTGGCTCACGCCTGTAATCCTAGCACTTTGGGAGGCGGTGGCGTGATTTTGGCTCACTACAACCCCCGCCTCACGGCTCAAGCCATTCTCCTGCCTCAGCCTTCCGAGTAGCAGGGATTACAGGCGCGCGCCACCATGCTCGGCTAATTTTTTGTATTTTTAGTAGAGACAGGGTTCGCCATGATGGCCCGGCTGGTTTCGAACCCCTGACCTCGTGATCCGCTCGCCTCGGCCTCCCAAAGTGCTGGGATTACAGGCATGAGCCACCCGCGCCCCGCCAGATTTATATTTTAGAAAATATTTGTATTCCTGTGCACCTGAGGATGGTTTTCCCCCACTGACTCCAAACGTCTTCCTTGCATATGTTGTGTACAATTCAAAGTTATTTGGGTCTCTCATCCATTTATACTTTCTAATTTTACCAATGCTTTTCGAACGCACTTAAAAAAAACCCCAAGAAGTATCTCACTAAAAGGCCAAGGTAAAACAAAATGAATGGGAGTTCTTGTGTTCGAGTTTTCTTCCAACTGGGCTTTCCTGGAGGAGGTGGAAGAGTGTGTAGCAGATGTTTCAGAAAATGAGCGCTCAATACGGTAGATCACGCCCCTGGGGACAAGGAGAGGTTTTCCGTTTTCTTTTCCCTCATTTAGGCGGCAGGCGCGCAGAGTCCAGAGGGAGCGATGGCGGGGTTTCTGGGCTCCCAGGTCACAGAAAAGCAGGCGACTGGGAACAACGGAGGCGCTGCAGGCCACCGGGCTGCGGGCCAGCGCCACCTTCAGGCGGATCTTTCCTGGAGCGCGTTCGGCCGCTGTCCCTCCCCTGGCCAGCCTACCTGTCCCGGGCCTGCGGCTCCCACCGCCCCTGCATGGTCGCCCTGGCAACGCCCCGCCCTGCCGCCCGCCTCCCCTTGCCCCTCCCCCCGCCCGGCGCGGCTGCGCGGGAGGGGGTGGGATGGGGGCGGGGAGAGGACGCAAGCTAGAGGAACTCGGCGCCGCGACGCACGCGGTCTATTGGCTGCCACGTCTCGGCGCCAGAAGCCCCGCCTCCCTGACGGTGGCCACGTGATCCCTTTCAAAGATGGCCGCCCTGTTGTTTTGATGAATAATACTTGGTGGGGCGAGGGGGAAAGAGTAGGGGTGGAGGGGTAGGAGGATTTACTCTTCCAGCGAGAGCTACGCGCGTCCCATCCTCCCCCTCCCCCCTACCCGGACTCCGGCGTGGAGGCGGGGCGTGGCCGGCCTGCTTTGGGAGGGGAGGGGCTTCCCTTCCAGTGCTGGGCTCTGCCAGGACGGCTGTGGGGTCGCCTTACCTCAGGGTATCCACTCTGCAGTCGACTAGTTCCCGCCTGGGGCAAAGGGTAGGAAGGAGAGCAGGATCTGCTGTAGGAAACGCAGCTACCACGCCACCATCACGAAGACACAGCAGACTCGGGGCACGAGACGAGCTGGAGACCGTGCTGCCTAGTCTGGGTAACCGGGGAAGCAGAGGGTAGTAAGTGGCGCCTTAAGATAACCCTGTAGCAGCAGCAGTGGCGGCCAAAGGAGGCTGCTCAGGGAACAAGCGGCTGTAGCAGTCTCTGGGGCGATTGGAGTGACTGAAGCCAAGGCAGTTCAGTGCCTCTCGTGTTCTTATTTTTTAACCTCTGACTATGCAATTCTGAAACCTCCCCCATTCGGGGGACCAGACATCCTGATAGACACCTTCCACTCTCCTTCCTCCCGCCGTGGTCTCGAGAACAGAAGGATCTCTCCCTAACGCCTTTCACCATTAAGAGGAAAGCGATGGAGGAGCTGAGCGCTGATGAGGTGAGGAGATTGGGGGACACCTTGAGGGATTAGTTGGCAACTCTTTAGCGCTTTGGACAAGGATGATATTGCGCCAGTGCTGCCTGGCCTTTGGGCTTGGGGAAGGAACGGAGATGGTTTTTCCAAGAATAACACGACTTCCCGATAGGGTCTCTGGTTTTATTCTCCTTTATTCTTTTGCCTTTTTTCTTCATTCTGAACTCCATTAGCTGCTTTCCGAGTGTTCTCTTAGGGTCTGAAAAAGAGAGAGCATGTTGAGGTGTTTATTCTTTTCTTCAGGGCGTGCAAGCAAGAAGGGCTAGATTTACATCAAGCTAAAGTGTGTGTGTCTGTGTCTTAGGAATTTAAAGAACAATTTTGGATGGAATGAGAATGTATGGTAGGTGAATATTTTTAAAGGAGGCTTTGAAATTCCAAATATGTGTGGTTATTTCACTGTATAAGTTGACTAAACATATCTTTTTGGTTGAGTGATGGTTTACAGATTCTTTGAAATTTAACAAAATATGTATCTTCTTAACAGTTTAGAGAATTCCAGTTATATTTTAGTGACTTAATAGACTACTAAAGACTTCCGGCATTCTTCTCTTACATTCTGTTTTTCCTACTTCTATCTTTCAAACTTGTGTTTTGCTGTAGCCCAGACTGAACAGGAAGCAAGTGGAAGCAAATGGCTCTGTAAACTCTTCTGTTCTCATATCTTAAAGGAGTTATACAGATCTACTTATTGATGTTTTAAAGATTCTTTACTAAATTAGTTTGTTGGGAAAAAAAATAGTGGCAATTAGGGTACAAGGAATTTCCTATGGTTCTACTACTGCCTTTTCCCTGCCTTTTTACAAATTGGGAGCTTCCCTTTCAGGACCCCTGCTGGGTATGCCCTCTTCAGCCTACCTTCACATTTCTTCCACTGGTTCATCATATAAACTTCCTTTCTTACAGTGTTAGGAAACCAGTCATCTATCAGGTTGGTTGTGCTATAAGACTTCCATGCTCCAGTTTTAGCTTCAGAGTACTTAGTGTGTTTACTTAGGGACTGAAATTGTCCAGGGATAGGACATGCAGTGGTGTGCAAGGAAGCAAATGATTTTGTTGGTTGTGATACTTGGATACTTGGTTTGGAAAATCAAGATGAACCATTCTGCGTTACTGACTTTGTTTTTTTTCAAATACATCAGAAATATAATCTTAAGAGAATATTGAACAGTTTCTTTCATTCAATAGGAAATATCAAGAGATCTCCTTAGAATCACTTTGTTTTATGTAGTTTTTAAAAGTTTCTCTACCCTCCCCCATTTTTCATTAATGTGAATTCTAGTGAGTAATTTCTCTTAAGGCAAATACTGTTTCTTAGTAGTTCTTTACTCCCAGAAATTACTTTTTTTTGTGCGTGTGATGATCTGTTAATAGTTCTTGGTTTAGAGACTCTTGCATACTTGTTTCACCAAGAAATTCTTTCCAAACCAGTGAGGCCTTATAGACCACTGAAGATATTGTATAATCTAAAATGTGTCTCTTCACTTTACCCAGTCCCTGAGGAAGGTATAACTTTTTGTGACCATATAAGGAACACATGTAACCTTTGTGGAAGAAATAGAAGAAACTTCAAGGTCAACAGATTATTAAAGTAAATGAAAAAAATTAAATTTACTCATACAGGATAACTGTAAAATTATCTTCAGCAAATTATTTGTCTTCAACACAAAGGGCTGGTTCAGTAACTGTTAATTTTACTCTCAGCAGAACCGACAACAAATAATGTTTGTTTTTAATTTTAAAATGTTTAATTTTTTTGTAGAGACAGGGGTCTTGCCATGTTGCCCAGGATGGTCTCAAGCTCCTGACCTCAAGGGATCCTCCTACTTCAGCCTCCCAAAGAGGGAGCCAAACAGTTTTTTTGGAAAAATATCTTTGAAGTTTTTTAAATTCAGTTAAAAATTTTTGACGTTAGGTAAGCAGTTCTCAAGAGACATTTCCAAAGCTTTTGCCTTTGTATTGTCACTCTGTAGTTGGAAACTTGTGTCAAATACGGTAGGTGACGTTGATTTGGTTACAAAATAATATATTATTGAAACTTCAGGCTTATATTACAGGGTTAAAACAGGCAAGACAGTGATCTTTTAATCTAATTTAGGAAATTAGGTAAGGCAGAGTTTCATATTTTAACAAAATGAAAATGTCTAATTATGCAGTTGGTGAAAAACAAAGGTGATATAACCAGACTGGTAGCTTTAGGAACTTTTATGTTATGTGCACATTTTGGTCCCTTTCATAGATCACCTAGAATTCGTGTGCTTTTAAGTAGAATATTTTAACTTCATGGCTGTTTGTTATTTATATTGTGTATTACAGTGAGTTCATTGCCCTGTAGTTCACTGCCTGTAGTTCATTGCAGAACCATGACTAAGTTCATTCTCTTCAGGAACCTACATTCCAAGCCATCATTATTTACGTTATATTAATTCTATAACCTACTCATGTGTTGTTTTTTATATCTCAAGATGGTGCTGTGAGTAGGTGGTGTGTTTGTTTGATTTTGAGACAGGATCTGGCTCTGTTGCCCAGCCTAGAGTGCAGTGGCACGATCTTGGCTCATTGCAACCTCTGCCTCCTGGGCTCAAGTGATCTTCTCACCTCAGCCTCCCAAGCTAGGACTACAGGCTCATGCCCCCATACCCAGCTAATTTTTGTATTTTTTTCTGGAGATGGGGTTTCATGATGTTGCCCAGGCTGATCTCAAACTCCTGGGCTCAAGTGACCTGTTTGCCTCAGCCTCCCAGAGTGCTGGGATTACAGGGGTGAACCACTGGGCCCAGCTCAGTAGGTGTTTTAAACCGTTTTTCAACAGTGGTAATCAGATTGCATTGAAGTGATTTTTCCCTCCTCTCTTCTTTTTTTTTTTTTTTTTTTTTTTTTCAATTTTATTCACAGTCTTTTATTTTTGTTGTGTTTTTTTTTTTTTTTTTTTTTTTTTGATATGGATTTTCGCTTTTTCACTCAGATTGGAGTGCAATGGCGTGATCTCAGCTCACCAGCCTCCTCCTCCTGGATTCAAGTGATTCTTCTGCCTCAGCCTCCCCAGTAGCTGGGATTACAGGCATGCGCCACCACGCCTAGCTAATTTTGTATTTTTAGTAGAGATGGGGTTTCTCCATGTTGGTGAGGCTGGTCTCGAACTTCTGAACTAAGGTGATCGGCTTGACTCAGCCTCCCAAAGTTATAAGACTACAGGCGTGAGCCACCATGCTCGGTCCTCCTCCAAAGTCTTCTTTATGACCTAGTTCATCTGAAAGATGGTTGGCTGGGATTCAGGGTGTGGTCAAGATTTTAGAAAGTGTAAGTGTTTTTTCCCAAAGGAAGAATATGCGACCTTGGACTTTTTAGCAGTGTTCCGTAAGTAGAAGAAAATTGACATTTAAACGATAGCCTTAGAAGCCTGTTCTGTGCCAGGCACTTAATAGCTCTGTCTCATTAGATAAAACATTATAATCAAGCAGGTACTATTTTCCTAATTTTATTTTTTATTTATTTTTCTTTTTTTTTTCCAAATAATATACCAAGTAATATTTTCCTAATTTTAGAAGCCAGGAAACTGAGATTTAGGTTAAGTAACTTGTCCATAGCGACCTGGCTTAGAAGTGACAGGTTTGGAATTCAAACCCAGTGCTCTTGACTCAAAAGGCCTTTTTACTACATTTTATTGCTCAACAACTGACATAAATTCACCACAGTTTCTATGTAAATATTCTACATAACATTGACCCACTCTGCTTTGATATACATAGTTTTTCTGTAGAAGTGATGTTTTGCATGAATCCATTCATGATGTGATCAGGGCTTTTTGGTACTGGTCCTCCCACCCCCAAATTTTTTGGGATGCCGAGGCAGGCGGATTACCTGAGTTCGGGAGTCTAAGACCAGCCTAGCAAAAATGATGAAACCCAGTCTCTATGAAAAATACAAAAAATAGCTGGGTGTGGTGGTGGGCACCTGTAATCCCAGCTATAAGGGAGGCTGAGGCATGAGAATCGCTCGAACCCAGTGAGCTGAGATTGCGCCACTGCACACTCTAGCCTGGGCAACAGAGCGAGACTCTCAAAAAAAAAAAACGGAAATCCGGCAGAAAAATGGCCAGGTACAGTGGCTTAAGTCTGTAATCCCAGCACTTTGCGGGGCCAAGGTGGGCAGATAGCCTGAGGTCAGGAGTTCGAGCCCAGCCTGCCCAGACATGGCGAAACCTCGTCTCTACTAAAAATAAAAAAATTAATTGGGTGTGGTGGTGCACACCTGTAATCACAGCTCCTCAGGAGGCTGAGGTAAGAGAATCACTTGAACTTAGGAGACGGAGGTTGCAGTGAGTCGAGATTGCGCCACTACACTCCAGCCTGGGAGACAGAATGAGACGCCATCTCAAA